AATATGCAAAGTGTCCCCACAGGAGTTAAACTGGGAGACCAGGAGTTCTATCGCTCGCTATGATGTGCGCTGACCACCAGGAGGAGGTGCGGAATGAAGGGAGGCCCCAGCCGGCAGCCAGAAGGCCCCATGGCCAGGCCTAGAGAGCCTATCTGCACACAAATTTCATGCACCAGGCCTCTAGTTTCCTTATAATACAATCCCTTGAAAATAAAAAATTCAAATTAACCTCCCCCTCCCCAAGCTTTATCTTTTCTGGACTCCAAGCATTTGTCTCCTGAAAATAACTGAGTGCAATCTGAAAACAACAAAGAATTTATTTTGAAGACCACAGCTTATTACAAAATCCTGTATTCCAAACATTTCAGTACAGAAGAAACATTAGAATAAGAATACACTGCTTTATTGAGCCTTGCTACTTGTACCAGTACTAGGCTGTAGCTGGAGGAAAATCTTTTTTTTCCTCTCTGTTGGGAAGATGGGTGAGAGTGTGTGAGGAGTGGAGTGGCAGGAACTTACTAATGAGAGGAAGAACATTATAAGAATAGTATATACAAAAGAGAACAAATCCTACTACATCAGAAAGGGTTATCAACAAAATATCTGCTCCTGCCAGATGTTTTCATTGTAAGGCTATTCCTTTAATCTGTCAGACTCTAACCATCACCTTCCAGTTTATATCCAAAAACTAATCAAATACAGATGCAGGAATAAGGACCCTGAAATAGGAAAAGGAGAGTTGGACACCAGTACTGCCTTTGCCATTAATTAGCTCTATGACTCCACACAAGTCATTTTGCCTTTCTATGTCTCAGTGTTTTCATCTGTAAAACAAAATGGTTCACCTTACCTCACACCATACAGACAAATTAATTCAAATGTATCAGAGTCCTAAATCATATAATATGTGATTCTTTGTGTTTGGTTTATTTGGCATGTTTTTTTGAAGTTCATTCATGTTGTAGCCTGTTGCATATATTATATTCCCTTTTTTCCGGACACCACTTGATGAACATCGGGTTTCTGCTTTTTTTTGGTTGTTTTTTATGAGGTTTTTTTGTTTGTTTTTTAAAAATATATTTTATTGATTTTTTACAGAGAGGAAAGGAGAGGGATAGAGAATTAGAAACATGGATGAGAGAGAAACATCGATCAGCTGCCTCCTGCACACTCCCCACTGGGGATGTGCCTGCAACCAAGGTACATACCCTTGACCAGAATCGAACCTGGGACCCTTGAGTCCGCAGGCCAATGCTCTATCCACTGAGCCAAACTGGTTAGGGCTGTTTTTTATGTTTTGATGTTGGATAAGTAAAGATTTCTTAGCTACAACACCAAAAAAGCACAATCGATAAAAGAAAAAAGTGATAAATTAAACTTGTATCAAAATTCAAAACTTTTGCATTTTTTAAATGTTTTTATTGATTAGAGAGAGAGATAAACATCGATGTAAGAGAGAAACAGCAATTGGTTGCCTCCCACACATACCCTGACTGGGTACCGAACCTATAACTCAGGCATGTGACCTAACCAGGAATGAACTGTGACCTCCTGGTTCATAGGTCCTCTCATCCACTGAACAATACTGGCTGGGCAACTTTTGTATTTTAAAAGACGCCATTAAGAAACTGAAAAGAGCCCTGACCGGTTTGGCTCAGTGGATAGAGCATCGGCCTGCGGACTGAAAGGTCCCAGGTTCGATTCCGGTCAAGGGCATGTACCTTGGTTGCGGGCACATCCCCAGTAGGAGGTGTGCAGAAGGCAGCTGATCGATGTTTCTCTCTCATCAATGTTTCTAACTCTCTATCCCTCTCCCTTCCTCTCTGTAAAAAATCAATAAAATATATTTTTAAAAACATCAACTATTTTAAAAAAAAAGAAACTGAAAAGACACATATGTAATGCTTTAAACAATAAAATTTTTAAATTAAAAATAAAAATAAAATAAGTACTCTAAAAAAAAAAAAGAAAGAAAGAAACTGAAAAGACAAGGTACAGACAGGGAGAAAATATTTGAAATCATGTATCAGTTTACGAAGTCCTCAAATCCAGAATGAATACACAAACAAACCCCTATAGCTCAATAAGAACACAACCCAAAGCACAACCCGAAAAGACAAAAGATTTGAATAGATATTTCAGCAAAGAAGATATATGGAAAGCTAATAAACAAGCACATGAAAAGATGCTCAACATCATCAGTCATCAGGGAAATGCAAAAAAACCACAATGAGATTCTACTTCACACCCATTAGAATGGCTACAACCAAAATGACAGACAACAAATGCTGGCAAGGGTATAGAGAAATAGGAACCTTCATACATCACTAATGGGAATGTAAAATGGTACAGTCACTTTACCTTCTGATGCAGCAATTCCACTCAAGAAAAATGAAGTATGTTCACATGAAGTGCTCACAGCCAAAAAACAGAGGCCCAATGTCCAGCAAGTGGTATCCAAAAAAGGAGGGAGGGGAGGGGCATAATATATACTATAAGCTATAACATGAATGAACCTCAAAAAAAAATTATGTCAAATAAAAGAAACCAAACACAAAGAATCACATATTATATGACTATTTTTATATGGAAATCCAGAAAAGGCAAATATAGAGAGACAGAAAGTAGATTTGTGGTTGCCTGAAGCAGGGGGTGGGGACAGGGAGTGACTACAAATGGACATGAGGCATCTTTTTGGAATGATGAAAATGTTCTAAAATTGGATTGTAGTGATGATTGAACAACTCTGTAAATTTACTAAAAACCTATAGAACAATACAGTTAAAACTGGTGGATTTTATGGTATATAACTTATACCTCCATAAAATTGTTTTCAACAATTAAAAATACTATGCTAAATGAAAGAAGCCAAACACAAAAGACCACATGTTATATGATCCCATTTACATGAAACGTCCAAAAAAGGCAAATCTATAGAGACAGAAAGTGGATTTGTGGTTGCCTGGGGCTGGGAATGGGAACAGGGATGAACTGTAACAGGCACAAGGGATCTCAATGAGGTGATGAAAATGTTCTAAAACTGGATTAGGCTGATTGGTACACAACACAGTAAATTTACTAAAAAATCACTGAACTTTATGCTTAAAAATGGGTGAATTTTATGGTATTAAATTATACCTCAGTAAAGTTATTTTAAAAAATAAGGGGGTCAAATCTTAACATTGGCATTCTCAACCTTTTATCCATGGACCACTCTGAATGAGAACAAGACTAACCCTACCCCAGAGGATGGAGACTCCCCTGTCTCCACTCCCGGACACCCTACTGGTCTCCAAATTTCTACTCTGATGCCACCTTAATAGCAAAGGCATTAAGAATGACCACAAGCATCCTCTTCCCCCTAAAAAGATGTCCACCCAAAGGAAAGCAAAAACTCCTCTTCTAAAACCACCACAGGGACGCTTTTCTTAGTTTCAGACACTGCTTTGGGATCTCCCCCTTAGTCCTTTCCTTCAGCATGAAACTCTGTGGGGCCCGGAGCAATCTCTGGAGGCAGAGCCCTGGCTAGCAGCTGTCCTGCGAACCAACCCGCACACGTCAAGACACAGCACGTAAGGAGCACACAGGCCCATGAAGCGGCTTAAGGGAGAAGATGTGATGTCTTTCAGACAAAACTGAGCCCAGATTTGTTTTGAAACAAGAGGCAAGCGGAAAAGAGAAACATGACCGAGTTTCTCTAAAACGCAGATACAGTACAATAAACACTCACACCCCCATGACAGCTAGTGAGCGTCCAGCCCGTCTCTGCGATAGAACTAATTTTAGGACAGGATGCTGATGTAGCAACGGAGACAACCTCCTTCCTTCAACAAACAGGGGTCTGCCCGTGTCCGCTGGACGGGGCTTCTGTTTAAGGACACCCACCCCTTTTTTCATCTCTAAAGTCACAGGAGTATTGTTTTCCAACAAACACCTCCCCCATCATCCCCCATCACACGTGCCTCTCGGAGAATGACAATCTCCGCGCAAGTTCTGTGCTCTGCCAACGGGTATTCCTGGACCCCTTTCAAATCCACTCCACACACAGCAGCCAGGCCCACTCGATGCCATGTCCCCGCCTGAAGCTCTCCAGTAACACTTCAAATTCCAAAATCCTTACCAGGGCGGCGAAGGTCCCGCCTCTCCCTTTCCTTTCTTTCTGCCCCTGGGCTCCTGACACACATCAAGCTGGCCCCCTCCTCGGAACCTCTGCCGTTTCTCCTCCCTCGGCAGGGACCATCTCCCCTAGGCTCTTCAGCCTCCTCCTCATCCTTCCGTGCTCAGCTTCAACGCCGCAGAAAAAGACTTTTTTTCCTTGAAATCGCCCTCAGGAGGTCTCCAGGTCACTCCTTATCAGAACATCTCATTTCCCAGCACTTGCCAAAAGCCTGTAATTGTTTTCATTTGTCTACTTATTTCACGTCTGTCTCCCCCGACAGAGAGTCGGTCCCGAGCGGTAGGAAGTTGTGTCCACGTTGCTCAGAACGGTACCTGCAGCTTCCTCTCGAGGGGATCCCCACCCAGCTCCACCCCAGCGATGCCCGGCATCTCGGGGGCATTTCCCCCGAGGCCGGAATGAACTAAAGCACCCGATCCCACAATCCCCCACGGAGGTAGGTGGCTGTGTCTCGACTCCAACACCCCATTTCTTTGCGCAGCCTTGACAAGCCTGCACTTTTCTTCCTCCCCAGGAGACATCTGTCGCTCAGGTTCAAACATCTATCACTGCGTCCGTCTATGCGGAGCCCCTCCAACCCACCCAACCCCGCCCCACCCCGCCCCACGGGCGCGTCACTCAATATCCCCTACCGCGCGGCACAAACCCGGAGCCTCACCCGCGCGCCCCACCAACCCGGGGGCCCCACGAGCGCCCATTCATATCTGTGCGTCCTGCGCTGCCGAGCTCCCGCTAGTGCCCAGGATCCCGCGGGTCTCCACGATCCCGCGTGTCACCCGCTGCCCAGAGCGGTGCCTCCCCACTCAGGGGCGCCAGCTCTCACCGATCACCTCCTGCAGCTCGTAATCGTCCCTGTTGATGGACCAGGGCAGGGCGCTCGAGTCCTCGGACATGACGGCAGCTGAGCTCTCGGTCCTCCCTCCAACTCGCTGACCTCTCTCCTTTCCTCGCCGCGCCTCTCCCCACCCCCAACCGCTGCCGCCGCGACCCCACCAATCTCCTCGAGAACAACCAGGTCCGCAGGGCGCCTGGGTGCGGGGTCACCGCGCGGCGGAGCGGCGGGGGCTCGAAGCTCCGGCGGATCTCGCCTCCTGCTCCTCTGCGTCCGGCACTCCCCGGCCCGGTCCAAGTCCCGTCCTCGGCCTCCGCTGCAGCAGCGACTGGAGCTTCGCCTGGGCCCGGCCCCTCTGTCCCGCCCTCCACCCCGGCCCCACGCACGGGCCAAACTTTCCCTTCACCTGCCGACACGCAGCGCGCTGACGTCACCGCGCCGGTCACGCCCCGCCTCGGCCCCGCCCCCTTCCGCCATATCAAGTGCGGCTGAATTAGCAGGGAGCAAGCAAGTAGCCCGAGAAGGTGCAAGTTGACAGTGAAAAGGCAGGGGTGCTTAGGCAGGAGTCCAGCGAGGACATCGGAGAGCCAGAGAAGGCCCTCAAGTAGCACAGACGAGGTGGCCACACTAAGCATGGCGGCCAAAGGCGGCCAAGGGGAGGGGCGGAGCCACTTCTGGCGGCGGGGGGCACGTTGCCGTCTCCGTGGTCGCATTCATTGGTTTGTTTGAGAAGGAATCAGAAAGGCGATAGGCGTGTGTGGACATCAGTCATATGCTAGTCCCGCCCCCGTGCCCTCAGCGCGCTTCTCTGCGCCAGGGGCCCCAGTCCCTCGATATCGCTAGTAAGTACTCCGCTCGCGGCCCGTCTCCGAGCGACGTCACGGCGTCACCGTCACACCCTCGAGACGTGCAAACGGTTCCGCTGGGTGTGGAGAAGCCCGAGGGAGCAGCAGGGTGGGGTGGCCTCGGGCGCTGGAAGACCGCCAACTAGGATAAAGGCCCGGGCCACGTACGGAGTGGAACTGGAAGCTTGTCCCATGACGACACTTTTTTCCAGGAGGAAGTTCTCTCCGCGTTAACCCGTCGCGGTTCTCTCGGCCACCTAATTGGGCCGGGAGCGAGTTCTCTCCATTCTCAACTTTGGGTCTGGAGTTCAAAAAAGCATCTGACTTGGGGGGCTTCTGAAAGTTGGGGTTCACCCCCTTAAGCATCCTGGGCCATGAAACAAGTGAGATTTGGCCCGTTTTTCCAGGGCTTTGCCTTTGGTGTGACCTCACTGAACTTGTTTTCTCGGGTTGACCGCTTAGGCCATTGGGGAAATTCACAAGGTGAAAATTAAACGCGCTTGGTAAAATGGAAAAGAAGGTATCAACCCCAGGCTGGCATGGACCTATGAACCAGGAGCTCACGGTTCGATTCCCGGCCAGGACACCTGCCCGGGCTGCGGGCTGGATCCCGTGTGGGGCGTGCTGGACGCAGCCGATCAATGATTTCTCATCATTGATGTTTCTCTCTCTCCCTCTCCCTTCCTCTCTGAAGTCAAGAAAAACCTATTTTCAAAGGTATCAACATGGATTGGGCTCGGTGCAAAACTGTTCTCAGCGGAACATGTTTCAGACCAATTGTAGTCCTTAGGGAAGCCCTTCGCCGGGCGCTGGAAGCCCTGCGCCGGGTCTGGGGTCTGCGGGGGCAGGCAGGTCGCTGACCCGAAACCGCTAGGAACTGTGGGAACGGAGCTGGTAGCAGGTTTCTGATTGGTTGGTGAAACCGGAGAACGGCTTATGGAGGAGGTGGCATTTGCACCAGACCCTGCAAAGATAACACCATTCCACCAGGTGGAAAATGAGAGTTTAGAAGATTGCAGTCCCGGCGAAGGTGCCCGAGTTGCCAGGTCTGAAAGCAAGGCAGAAGCCTTGCTGTAGAAACAGGTGTCAGCCATTGCTTACCAACACCTTTTCTACTGTCATGCGTTTAGGGAGTTTGGAGAAAAACGTGGAAGGAGCCAGCCACACATACACAATTTTAAACAGGGTATAAAGGGGTTTTAGACACATCAAAGTTACTAATAATCTCATTCTAGTTAGGCTGCTGATCCTTATATATGGCTCCCTCAGTAATCTTTCGGGAAAGGGGGGAAAGAGAAGCTAGCGTGGTTCTGGAACCCTGGTCCTAATATTAAAATACCTCCAAATCTTGCCCTGGCCAGTCGCTCATGGTTAGAGCATCGTCCCGTGCACCAAAGGGTCGCAGGTTTGATTCCAAGTCAAGGGCACATATCTTGGTTGCAGGCACAGTAGGGGCACGTGTGGGAGGCAACCAATCTGTGTGTCTCTCTCACATTGATCTCTCTCACATTGATTGATCTTTCTCTCTCTCTCTCTCTCCCCACCGCCCTCCACCTTCCAACCCCCTCTCTTCCACTCTATCTACAAGCAATGAGAAAATATTCCCGGGTGAGAATTTAAAAAAACAAACACCACCAAATCTTATCTAGGTTTCTTCAGAGTAGGTTTATTTTCCTTGGGAGAGAGACCTTGTTTTTCCACATTTTCAAAGGAGTCCTTGTCTTCGTTGGGGTTCCTCCCAAAATCCGGCTCGGAACCAGGACTGAGATACCAATAATGGATCTAGGAGGTGACTCCCAGAGGCACTCGGAAGGAGTGAGACAGGAGAGGAAGGAGTGTCCTTAAAGGGCACATTGGTGAGGGCTTATCGTGTGGGCTCAGCCCTGCTGTGAATTGTCTGAGAAACTGAACACACGTCAGAACTGCCCACTGACAGGCAAGAAAGCTGAGGCACTTGCCCACCAACTCCTCTCCCTCTTTAGCATGTTCATGCTCCTGCACCTCTGCCCCGCTCCCAGCTGGGGAAAGCACACTTCTGAGTCAGAGAAGGCACTTAGGCAAGAGCCATAGGCAGTCCTCCTCACGTACCAGAACGCTCTGAAAGCAAACTTCAGAACAGGAGGCCCAAGGACGTGAGCAGCATAGACAGCATCTACTACAATGTGTAAACCAGGAGAGAGTATAGTCATGCTTCCCTTTGTTGCCTTTAAGCAACTTACCTGTACTGTGCTTTGCTTTTGGCACCTGGGGGGGGGGGGGGGGGGGAAGACTAGTGAGGCCTTGAAGTGGTAATTACAGTTGTAATCATTCAAGTTTTATAGGCTCCATCAATGAAAGTTTTGAAGTCTGGAAATTAATATGCACCCCATGAGAAACCTGAATATAAAGAAAAGCAAAATGCGCCCTGATCGGTTTGGCTCAGTGGATAGAGCGTCGGCCTACGGACTGAGGGGTCCCAGGTTCGATTCCAGTCAAGGGCATGTACCTTGGTTGCGGGCACATCCCCAGTAGGGGGTGTGCAGGAGGCAGCTGATCGATGTTTCTCTCTCATCGATGTTTCTAATTCTCTATCCCTCTCTCTTCCTCTCTGTAAAAAATCAATAAAATATAGAAAAAAAAAAAAAAAAAAAGAAAAGCCAAATGTGATGTCTCTGTCATAAGCTGATTTTCTCAGCAGTTCCATGTCAGTGCCAGGACCACTGTAGACTGCTAGAATCTGTTCCCCCCATCTATCCCTTATCACGTGTCACATGGAATGTAATGTCATCTCTTGTCATGACGACACCCATGCCTCACCTAGGTGTGCTTCCTGCCTTGTGCCAGGCACATATGATTAAATAGATGGAGTGTGAAAGTAGAGGTGATGTGAACAAGCTAGGAGTCTGGGGGCCTGGTGAAAAGCTGATACCTTGAGGCCCAGGAAATGAATGTCCCAAGTGACAGATGCTCAGAGCCTATAAGAAACAAGTGGGTGCACAGGTTATTGTAGGAAAGTGTTTTGAACCAGAGAGTAGCTTCAGGTTCACCAAGCCTGGCACCAGGCCAACTTGATGAGCTCAAGCTAAGTGAGCAAGCAATTAAGGTAAACAAGCCAGTTGTAGATAAATTATATTTTCTGCATTATTTGGCTACCATAACAAATTACCATAGACTGGGTGGCTTAAACCACAAACATTTTTTTTCTCACAGTTCTGGAGTCTGGGAAGTCTAAATATCTAGCTGCTGGCAGATCTGGCTTATAGACAGTTGTTTTCTCATTACATTCTCATATGGCAGAGGGCTGGAGTAGGCTCTGTGTTTCTGCATATAAGGGCACTAATCCCATTCATGAGGGCTCCACCCTTATGGCCTAATTACCTCCCAAAGCCCCATCTACCAATATCACATTGGGGGATGAGGGTTAGAATTTCAATACATGAATTTGTGGGGGACACAAACATCTATATATATAAAAGGCTAATATGCAGAGCGTCCCCTCAGGGGGTCGGCTGGGAGACCAAGAGTTCGATCACTCGCTATTATGTGCACTGACCACCAGGGGGTGGCGCAGAATACAGGAAGGCCCCGGCTGGCAGCCGGAAGGCCCCGGTCGGCCCTGATTGCCAGCCAGGCCTAGGGACCCTACCCGTGCACAACTTTCGTGCACCGGGCCTCTAGTTAGTCTATAACATACATATATGTAAATTTGTAAAACAGGTCTGGGAGACCCATGGAAGTGTAGTACACATTTGCTTTATGTGTATTGTTTGAACTATAAGGAGAGAGTATTCCAATACTGTATAACACTAACAATATGAATTCTTTAAAGCAATTCAATAAGATCAATTCCATAAAAATATTTTGGGGGCCCATAAACATAAACTCCAGCTGCATTAATAATCAAAGAAATGCAAATTCAAACTAAAATGCAATCCCATTTTACTCTCACCAGATAGAGCAAAATGCAAAAGCCAGAGAATACTAAGTGTTGGCCAAGATGAAGAACAACAAAAACTGTGGTCCTCTAGTTGGAATGTCAGTTGATGCAACCTCCTTGGAAAGCATGTTGGTATTACCTAGAAAACAGGACCTGTGCTTCCCCCATAGCCTGGCACTTCCACTCCTTCATATACTAGTATGCCCTAAACAAACTCTTGTTCATATACTCCACGTAATATATACAAGAATACCTATATCAGCATGTTCTGTGATAGCTAAATAAAGGAAATCACCCAAACAGAATGTAAAAATATTCATACAATGGATACTAAACAACAGTGGAAATGTATTTACTATAATTGCATTAAAAAACTCAGCTGAACCTCAAAACAATGCTCGTCAAACCAAAGTAACAGAATGCATACAGTATGATTGCATTCACAAAAAGGTCAAAAATAGTCACAATTGAACTTCTCTGTTTTAAAAACTTAAGAAGAGCAAGGAAACAAAGACATTTAGTTTGGCAGTTAGCTCTAGGGGAAAGGAAAGGGATGCAACTAGGGTAGGACACAACGAAGACTTACAAGATTCAGGTAATATTCTAGTTTTTAACCTGATGATGGGTACATAAGTGCTCAACTATTCATATATGT